GGGGGGGGGCATGGGAGTGAAGGGGGTCCCGGTGACGGGGACGGAGCAGGGGACGGAGCAGGACGCAGGGACGAGCGGAACATGGGGACGAATGGGACAGCGGGACACAGCAGGGGACAGAACCGGACACGACGACGGGCAGGACACGGGGAGGGGCGGGACACCGGGACAGAGCAGGGGATGGGGACGGGCGGGACACGGGGACGCAGCAGGACATGGGGAATGGAATCCCAGGGACAAAGCGGGACCTTGGGGACAGTCAAGATTCAGGGGAAAGAGCAAGACCCTGGGGACAATCTGGACCTCAGGGATGCAGCAGGACCCTGGGGAGGGTGTCCTGGGGATGGAGCAGGGCCCTGGGGACAATCAGCACGCTGGGGACAATCAGCACCCTGGGGATGGAGTCCCAGGGACAAAGCAGGACTCAGGGACAGTAAACACTGAGCAGGACTGAGGGTAAACGGAGGGTTGTTATCGGCTATCCCTAACCCCTAATCCTAACTCCAAGCCTAACCTCACCCCAACCCTAAACCTCTAAATGACAGGGAGCAAAGAGGGGCACGGAGCAAGGTAAAAAAGGGCCATAGGACAAGCGCAGAGGAGAAAAGGGCTCAGGGAAAAAGAGGGCGGAGAGAGCAAAGTGAAAGGGAGCAAAGAGCAGGAAGCAAAAGAGAGCAAAGTACATAGCAAAGGAAAGATGTTACAGAAAAAAAAAAGATTTTTAAGATAGAAAAAGGATACAGGCAGCCCAAGATAAAAATAGGAAGACTGCAAAATTCAGGTTTCTTATTTTTACAGGGGTAAAATTAAAAGGAGAAAATAAAAAGGGTTAATAGGGGAAGTATATACTTCAAGAAAGACACCACTGCCACCAGAACTATGTTTATTTGAAACGAGCGACCACAAAACCATCTTTATTTGAAAGCAGACACAGACTCCAACCAGAGCATCTTTATTGCTCAACAAAATGTACAACTGTGCCTTCCTGACGAGCTGCTGTGGGAAGCCAACCTGTTTGCCATCCCGAGAGGAAACACGGGATGCGTGACCGGATCCTTCCTCACACCCCGCACCTGCAAAACACAAAGACCGTGTCAGGTACAGCCTACATTAACAGGGAGGACAGAGCAGAACACGCTCACACGCTGCAGCGGGTGCAGATTTACCCGGATATATCAGATAAACCCTGGCCCTGGGACCGAACTCCCTGCAAACTTTGGCGACGATCGTCGCCTCGTGGAGCGGCCAGGACCGAGGAGGAAAAAACCCGGCTGGGGAAAAAAAAAGAGTGTATTTTTTAAAAATTAATTAAAAATTTCTGAATACGAGCTACAACCTGGGGGAAAAAAGCCACCACGCGCGCAAGATCAGACACGAGGAGCAGCAAAACCGGGCAGCGCAGCCCTGGCCGCTGATCTCGGGGTAAAGCAGCCCCGGGGCACGACCGGGAGCGCCCGAAAGCGCGACCGGTGAGGAGGGGGCGGGGCCGAGAAGGGGGCGGAGCCAGACGGAGGGGGCGGAGCTAGACAGGCGGGG